TCACTTAGATAGTAGCAAGGTCCTTGTTTGGACAGGCTCTTCACTTGCATATGTCAGGCAGCTCAGCCATTTACATGAGTCTTTTCTACTGTGGATCTAGTTACTATATAAATCCTTATGAACTCAGTACTAAACCCAATGCCCCCTTTGAGAAGCTCAGCTTTAATGACATCTACAGCAGCAAGAAGGCTTGTTTAATAAAATGATGAGATCTGGCACAAGAAGAAGAAACACCACTTCCCTATACACCTCTGACATAACTGTGTTACCTGCAAACCAAAAGCATAACAGAGTCCAAAGTTGCTACAACAACACCCATTTCAAACACGCCTAGCAGCATCCACTGAGCTTTCTGTAGTCCTTCTTAACCCTGCTATTAACCCCCAACCAAAGCCTTGATTAAAAGAAAGCCTTTTGCGCTATACATAAGCATGCATAAACCACTGGATTTTGCTGGTGTTTCAACAGCTCAACCTTAGCGTGATTCAGTTATAAAACAAAACAACACAAAAAATGTTCTCCAGTTTTGTCTGCCCTTCTAAGCCTGAACTCAGACTGCAGCAATAAGCTTAGCCTAGCCATTATTCACACTTCTAACAGAACAAACTTTAATGCACTGGATTCTGTCTGCACCAGACTCCACTTTGTCCCTGAAAAAAACTAAGGAGGAGTTCATAAAATAATAGGTTATGTTTACATTTGCCAATTTAGCAGTGGCTGGGCACACTGGAATTTACTAGAATGTAATCATCTACACAATAAAAATATTAGAACAGCTCTTCTGCTCTCACAAACACTTTCTAGAAGTGGTTCAGGAGTTAGGATATAGCAGGCACAGCTTCCAGAGGCAACCTAAAGCCATCTTACAAGAGAGGCTCATGGCACAGATGGGCATCATCCCATGCCACTCAACTTTCAAGTCAAAGGGGACATTCAGCTTATACTTGTACAGTTGCAACCTTAGCATCTCATAAGACTTATTTCACCTACCAATGCAACCATGGCTTTCACAATAGGCTGGAGACTCTTTCCTGAAGGTAACAATGAAGCTTAACCTCTTGCACTTTCCATACCCTATTCCAGTGGGTCATGTAAAATCTACCAGTAAACCGCAGTTATCAACCACTCCTGTTCCTTAAACCATAATCTTAATCCTCATCCCAGCCTTAATGAAACCTCAGTAAAATTTATTTAATGCAGAACACATCCTGACATTAAAGAATGCACTGAGACACCAAGACCTTTAACCGCCCTTATTCCAAATTATCTTCAGTCCCAACCTGAATCTCATTTTAACCACAACTCAGTTGCCCATACATGAAGCACTACAGACTGGAGGTCTACCACATGTGTTAGCACTCGGACCTCAGCAAAGCCCTAACCTTGCAGGATTTAGCTGTACACCTACATTTTCAAGCCTTCTTTCCCTGAACAGTAATCCTCCCTACAGGCTGAACAGTAACCTGCTAATTGCACTGTCGGCAAAATTAACAGTAAGGGGCAGAACTTGAACAGAAGCATCCTTCAAACTATCCTAATAGGTCTTTTCCTGCTCACGTCCTAACCCTATCTCTTGCCATATAGCATTAATTCAAATTCAGCTTGGTAACAGAGCTACCCCTGTATCATTCAATCTTGCTGGTAACTAATCCATAGCCCAGTCACATGTTCCTCACACAGCAGCCAGCAAGAAAATAAGATCTTCAACTCATCTTGTCTCAAAACTGTCTCAAAATATAGCCCCAGCCAAAAGCATGGTCTAGTGACATTAAAATAAAAATAGGGAAGCTTTCTTGCCCATTTTGCTAATTAATATGTCAGAGCTCATAAAGACAGACTCATCAGCTTTTCTCCAGCACTGCATCATCTGAAAGAGCTGTGTCAGCAGAGACCTCAGGAGACAGTCAATACATACTAAAAGTGTTCTAAGCAGTAAATTAGAACACAAAAAAACAGTTTCAGAAAAAAAAAAAATAGCTGCAAAGAATTCAGTACTTGATTTCAGTATTTGATATAAATCAGGTTATATTTGACATACAATGGTCTTGTCCTTCCTTATGAAAGGTATCCTCCTAGCTGTCCTGGAAGCGCTTTTCTAAGAAGCTAAGAGTTCATGAAAAACTGAGTTAAGTTTCCTGATATTTCATCTTTGAGAATTTTCAGGGATCTTCTCTGCTTTATGATAGAGGCACCACTTGTCTGCTTCTCATTTTCATCACTGGAATTGAGCTTAGGGAACGCAGACACACCACTGCTGAGCACACAGGAAGCTTACAGAGGACAAAATCCTCCTCAGACAGTTCAGAGAGGATGCCTCACACACACACACACACACACACTTTGAACTGCAGCCTCTTCCAGAAGGGGCCAAGTAAGCTGCATCAGTACAGCACTCCAGTGCTTTTGCTAACGGTATTGTGGCAAACATTTGCCACACTAAGAACACCTGTAAGCACTGCAGGAGTCTGCCATCCAACAGGATGAAGGACAGGCCAACTACAAGAAACAGAATTCACAGATGCATTTCTGGGAGGGTGAAACACAGGAACAAGTCTCCTGCCATCTTCCCACAGAATGTGCTTACAAGCTCAGGATTGAGTGTCCAGATATGCCTCTAAAAATCAAACCTACTTTTTTTTTTTTTTTTTTTGGGAGTGGGGTGGGGGAGAAGTGCTGTTTGTGTGTGCAATATATAAAAAGACAGAAAGATGGGGCTACAGCCACAGATCCTTCTAAATGCCTTGGTCTTCTGCAGAATTGTGATAACGCTTTTTGAAATGAATACATGCTACTACCTCCTGCTGCTGCTGAGTAACATGTAATATGTGAGGGATACAGTAGCGATGCCAAAAGCTGAGACTAAATGCTTGAAGAGCCATTGCCCCAGAAGGAATAGAAAGGATATTTCCCTAGAGAGAATTACTCAACTGCGTATTTCATAGAACAAGTCACATTGAAGGAGAGAAGGGATAATTGCATTGATTGTTAGTAGGTGATAATTAATTCTGTAGAGAAATATGTTTAATTTCCTGAAGTCTAGAATAGGATGGAAACTCTTCGTTCTGTAATGAGAAAATAACAGTGTTTTGCTCCCAGCACAAGAAGCTGCAATGTTTCCCATAGTGCATTCTTAAAAAAGGTACCTATAGGAAGGCAGCACAATGAATGATGTTAAAACAAGCGTTCTGTGATGTGACTGCATGCCTGAAAAATGTGTACAATTTATAACTCCAAAGAGCATACAGTAAAAGGGGACCAAAGAAACAAATATTTGAACGGAATAATGCGAAAACTGAAACTGCACTCCTTATGAAGGGCTAGGAAATGGAACATAGAGAGGGGATAAACATTTTTCAACAGTAATTGAACAGTATTTAAAGTGAACAGACCCAAGAAAAATAATTTACACTCCAACCTTCTCAGAAGTTAGCTAGATCCTTTTATTCTGAAGGGGAAAAAAAGGGAACAACCTGTAGGATTTTTGTAGCTCTTCCTTAGGTGATGAAAAAAGTCTATAAAAAAAAGATCTTAGGTAAATGTAAGAGGTCTGTGAAGGGTAAGTGAAGCAAACAAGTTGAATTTCAATAAGCAGGGGTCCACATTTCCACATATAATTTGCAGGTGTCTTCAAACAGAAAACTTATTAAAGCCACAGTTTTCAAGAATATGGAGAAGCGTGCAGGAGATCAAATGCTGCTAGAAGTGATATTATAAAGCTTAATTTACCTGTAACAACCAATTGCCAAAGAGTTATGATCTCACCAGGTTTCCCTCCAATATTCTTTGATAGCAGTGAATTCCACTGATCTTTGGAAAAGTGAATTATGTTGCAATATTTGTAGGAATTTTTCTGCACAGGAAAAAAAACCCAAGGGCAACACCCCTAGCTTCTTCAAGTTGACAAGATCATTTCTTTGAAGCTCTCACATCCCCAAAACAAAAAGTTGAAAGAATTTTTTCTCCCTAGGAATGATAATGTCACAAGACGAACTACCCCCTGGTTCAGAAAGAGAATCCAAGTAGTTCACAGACTTAGGAAAGATGCCAGTAAAATTTAAGAAGAATTTGTTCATTAAGTTCAGGAAAAGGTCTTCAGATAAGGAAAATCCATACCAGAGAACTGAAGAAGGACACCCAGTTGCACAGAGAAGGAATACCACAAACAATCAGGAATCTCCTAGCTGACCTTCCTTTACATGAATTCAGCTTTTTACTTCTATCAAAGGAGTGGAAAAAGGCAACGTGCAATCACGCTACAAAGGGACAGCCTGAAACTTCAGGGTTTTCTAACATCAGAAGAGATTGCTGAATAACTTCAGTTTTCTTAAAAGTTTAAGGTTTCTTATATCAGCTTATCCACGGTTTGTGAAAAATTACAATCTTATGTGACATTTCCTTGAAAGTTCTTCTAATACAAGAACTGCAAGTTATACAGTACCATGGTGTGGTTTGTAGAACTTATTCAATATGTAGATAAAGATAGTAGTATGGATAATTTTTTTATTACTACGGCCTAAAAAGTTTAAGAAAAAACAGATTATTTCTACCACACAAGCACCATGAAAGGAAAAGCTTTGACATTCTTTTTTTCAATCTGTAGAATTTTAGTGTTATCTTCAATATTCCTGGTAATGGAAGTGGAACTCAGAGCAAGGAGAAAAATCAAGAAATAGTTCTATTTTTCAAAACATTGTTTAAGTCTCCACACTCCACAAGACACGTTGCACTTGCCCTTATTTGAAAGGGCATCTTCTTCAGTTTACAACACCTGGACTGAAAAATAAAGTTACAGCTCTTCCTGCAAATGGCTCAGCTATATACACTGCCTGGCAAAGAACAATCCCTAATTCATCACTGTACAACTTGAGAGTCACTGCATACAAGTAATGCCTTAATTTGCAGCTCTTTCAGTCACCAGAGCTTCTGTATGCCGATTTCACTTACTGCCCATACTACTTTCAAGTTGCTGACTTTTCCTCCAAAATAGGAGAATAGCTTACCCGATCTGTGTCCGGCCAACAAGCCAACCTTGCTTTCATCTGCCACTGGAGGAATAAAAGAAAAGACACAAAGATCAGAAACTTACTTAAATTCACAAGCCTTTGAAACGCTGACAAATTATTTCAGACACATAGCATCCTAAATCTTTAAATTATAATCGTTTGTAAAAAGCCTTTTTTTGCCTAATCCACCTGGGGTGCTTCAAAGTCCAAATACCTGAATCAAAGCCCACTGAAACCAATAAAAGGACTACCAGCAGTCCTTGTGGGTTACAGATCAGGACCTCACCACTTACACACTCAAAACTGAGTTGTCAGAAGAGCAATTGCATTTGTAAATAACTCATCTTGCCAGACAAATCACAGGGCATAGGAGAGTTGTAACATTTTCAGATCAAAGACCTCGACTGTAAAAAGAATCCAGATGTGGAAACCTTCCCATCTGCAAGATGTCTCACTGACTCACAGGACACTCTGCAATGATTTCTCCCAAAACCGAATCTTTTGGAAGGTTTATGCTTTTTTTCTGTTCTGATTTGTTTTAACGTACCTTTGTAGTATTTCACAACAACTTAAAAAGAAAGATGCTTACAGTAGCAACAGTTTGCAGACAGACTAGTGGAGGAGCAAATTCTGAATGTAACAAAAATTGTAATTTTTCTTCAGTAACTGTACTTCGGTTTATTATCATATATCTCAAGAAACTAATTAAAATACTCACCCAGAGGGCTGAGGGGAAGAACCAATCACCATTTTTAAAATGAACTCTATGCAAAGAAACAGTGCTAATGTAATGTTAGGGATGATAAAACAAGCACAGGAAATGAATGTTAGGGTTGAAAGCTTATCCTTCAACTCTGTCTGCCCAAGCACTCCCTGATATTATGCCTTAAAACATGATCCCTTTATATGATAAAATAAATTGTCAAGTCATACCAAAAATACTATAAATGGGAACTTACACAAGATTTACATAGTGGTCACCATAAAAAGTTTACATACAGAGTTATCTGCAAGGATACAGGAATGTGCTATTTTCTACCCAGGAAAGAGCAGTGCAGCAATTACTGACATTTAGGAGGTACTACTGGGATGTAAGTATTTTCTTATATTGCCTCCCTACTTCACTTTTATGGAAGCTTTTCTCCCCAAAAACCAGCATCAGATTCAGGGCTGGGATTCACAGCTGGAATCATGAATCCACAACTGATCATTGTATCACTTCTCTACCTCTCTAATTTGATCGCCATCTGATTATCAGTAAAACTGACACAGTGTAGTTTTGTTGTAGGACGCAGATGCAGTAAAGTAAGACATATTGCTTGCAGTGCTGTGCAGAGATGCTGCAGAGCAAAATAGCAGTGGGGCTAGTCAAAATTGGAAGTGCAACCAAAATGCAAGGCAGTTCTCTACTCCCTGTCCATTAACCTTTCTTCTAGGTTTTTCTAGTCCCTGGAAATGATAACTATTTACCTCCTTGCAATGCAGTTTGACCCTATAACACAAAATGACCAGACCGGGATTTGCCATAAGGATAGTTCAAACTCCTTTTTCTCCTCCTTCCCCCCAAATTTAACTCTAAGCAGAACAACCATGGAAAACTTTAGTCCCAAAGGTTAGTGTTTTGACAAGTTATGATTGTGTGAAAACAAGGGATTATAATGGAAACTGATTTGCAACCTTAATTATAGCAGTCACTAATAGCAACCACTATAATGTATGATAATTACTTGGAGTAGGTTATGTTACAGTACACAGGAGCTTTAAAAAAATAGCTACTAAGGTTCACAGCATTTTTTTAAAACTATGCCGATGACTTGGTTTGCCTGAAACTAAACTAAGTTTTACATTATTAAAAGGGATAAATCCATTTAAGTTAATCATACTTTACACACCAGCTTCACATACAAAAATTAGATTTTAATACTGGAGGGGAAAAAAGAAAGACTAAAATGATTAGAAAATGAAAAATAATCTTACAGGAATACAAGGCTAGCATGATGAGTTTAAGAACACACACACAAAAATTGGGAAAGGCAAAAATTAAAGTTTGATATCAAAGTTTGAACAAAATACGTGTGCCCCTCCACAGGGTAATTTTCATTTCATGGGATAGTATGCTTAGGCAGGGACTTTTAGGCTTGCCATCTTTCATTAGAATGAACAGGAGTGGCACAGAAAAGTCCATTGGATGAGAATAACATTCCTTCCCTTGTTCCCCCTGGGAACAAGGAGAAAATGACAGAAAAGAAGGAAAAGGCTAATGGGAGATAAAAACTTTATATGCCAAAGCCAAATACTTTGCAACTGAACATTTCATTTAGGAAGTGCGTAAGATGTCCTGTTCCACAAAATAGCATTTGAAAACACTGCTCTGCATGTTGTTAAAAATTCATGCAATTATTCAGTTATGAGAAAAACAGTATTTCTCTGGCTGTCTTCCTCGGCTTTTCAAAAAAGCAAGAGTTAAGTGGAAATTTCTTTCCTAAGATTCTACTAGTGTCAGCCTATTTTTGCAGAAAGGCACCTGAAAGATTTTAAACAGGGAAAAAATACTGTCTACTTTTAAAACTCAAGTAAAAAAAAAAAAATCTAATTATTTTTATATTGCAACATCAAAAAGTAATTACATTGCAACTAACTATGAAAAATTTCAGCTCACGAATATCACACTTGGGAACATGCAGTGCCAGACTGGAATATATCAGGAAAACATTTATAACAAAATTTCAAGTGTAACTACTTTTATGACAACACTAGAAATGCTATATATTCTTGAGCTGGAATTGTTAAAAAAAAAAACCAACACATCATTTGGGGATTGTAAACACAAAACTCAAACAAAAATCTGGGAATGATCAATGCAAGAGAGTAAATACATTCACAACCAAGAAGACACTTCTCCTTAATTTGTAAATCAAACAAATTCTTCACATTTTGAAATATCCCTGGAACTCCAAGGGATGTTAGTTCATTAAGTTATTAATGTTTGTCAGTATAAAACATGCTAGCTCTTTTAAAGTAACATCTATAATTTAGGAACTGTGAAGCCAGTTACGTATTCATCGTCAGTACTCAAAGTAATTGCTGAAATAAAAGTGGCAGAGGTTCTACAGCTATTTAATAAAAACATGGACGTTTGAGGGACCACCAATTATGAAAGATGGAATATAACTAAAGCAAACTAATCTTTCCAGCCAATAGCAAACAACTGAAACTTTTTTTTTTTTTTTTTTTTTTAAAAAAAACCAACAAACCAAAACCCCTATGCCAACAACAAACGGTGAAAAACCCCAACTCTCTATGACATGAAGTATCAGATGTATTAGGATTTCCTATGGTAATATTCTGGAGTGCTGTTTTACTTTATGAAAATGAGTAGTATTTTTCAGCAACAGTAAAAGCACCCAACAATGCATCCATGTCCTTCCGCATTATCTTTTGATTGCCATTCCTGTGCCCTACCAAGGTAGCCATTTTATTTGAATTGCATGATTTTCAATGGTTTAGTACACAACAAGCTTTCTGTACTGCCTCAAAGTTTGTGGCAAATGCAGTCCAGGTTTACTTAAAGGTCAACAAACTGCTTCCTAATTACAGTTTAGAGAAGCACAGATCGATGCTGCTGCCAATCGTAATAACCGTTTCCCTCCTTTTGCCCGGTTCGGTTGCTATACCACTATATTAGTTTTCCCCAAAACAAGGACTATTCAACTTAGTGCCTCTTTTCTGAAGGATTAGTTTTGTACATTGACTAAGAACTACTTAAAATCTTCTTGTATTTCTGCTGGACAAACTTTGAATACCAGCTGCAGTTCTGCACTCAGAAAAGAAGCAAACCATGACTGAAATTACAGTTAATGAGAAATAATAATGAGACACGGAAACATCAAAAATTTCCTAGAAAACAAATTTCCTGACACCCTTATTAGTCTATAGGAAGGCCAGTATAAAATTTCTTATTATACATTAATCAGTTAACAGGGGCTGTATTCCCAAACCCCAAACGATGCTTCCATGCATTTTAGAATCCATTGGTTTCTGTGGCATAAACACATGAAAATAAAGCAAAGCTACAAATTTGTCACTCTTTTTTTCTGATGAACTGTGTCCCTACCCATGTCTTTTGTCATAATGAAGGCACTGCAGCATCGATTAATTTTAGTCAATGATAGTGCCAATGACATAATTCTCTGCCATTTCTATTTTCTTGGTGAAGCATTTCCCCGTCTAGGAGCAACATAAATCAGAGAAATTATGTCAAATGTTGGCTCGCAACCATCACTTAGAAAATGCTGCTTGCTGTTCTAGGTTTGTCCTGTAGTACTGCATACAAAGACCACAGGCTTTTATACTAAAATCTCCAGGAGCAATAAAATGTGTGTATTAAGAAGGGTAAACTTGCGTTGTCTTAAAATATTTTCCTTCAATTATTCCCCCTTCTCCCCACTCTTGTGACAGTAAAATTTCACGTATGGGCCCCATCTCTACTTCTTTGGAGTCCCTGGGTTATCCACCAGCTACTCACTCCTGAAGGATTATGGGTCCTTGAGAGACTCCTGTTCACTTCAGTGTTGAGAAGCAGTGAAAGCAGCAAAAAAACTTGCACAAGGGCCAAGGATAAATTATACTTATGCAGTAAAAAAGATAAGCCTGTTCCAAAATGGCATCTAACACAACATTTGGGATGACCTGTTCAGCACATTAAAGACAGGAATAAATTACATCCAAACCAAGATACTGGATTCTTTTTCTCACCTGTACAACATTTTCTCTAATTAGATTTTTTTAGGAACAATTTTGTTAGAACTGATTTAGTACTTAATTCAATTGTATTCAGAGAAGGTCCCCAAGGGATACATCTTGTGTCAGCACATGAGAATGAAAATGCCTAAGCTTGCATTCACTATTAATACTACTTGTTGAAGAACCATCAGTATAGTTGATGCTGTCCACTGGACACATTTGCCTTTAAACGGAAGCTCTTTCTCCTGGCAGAAAATAACATTGTTTTACAATTTCCCAGCCAGCATGAATACAAATTT